GCAATGATCACTGCATTTCAACCCCAGTCCCTGCACGCGCATTGTGCCCTCCCTACCCCCTCACCCCTCTGTCCTTCATGCCCAAAGGAAAATAAAAAAATTAAAATAAACGCGGCGGCGACAGACCTGGTGTTTCTGGGTAGGGAGAGGAAGCAGAGAAGCTTAGTTTGTGTAGTTTCTTTTCTCCCTTCCTTCCCGCCCCCACCCTACTCCATTTCTCCAAGCTGAGCTGACTTAGATCAATTCTGATGACGGGGATGACGAAGAATACCCGGTGGGTGATGCATGTGACAATGTACCGGCGAGGCCCGCTGTCCACTCCAAGGGAACTGGGCTGGCGGGGCGCGGAGGGTAAGGGAGAGTGCCTAGTGCACAAAGTCCAGAGGCCTGGGACACGGGGCTGGGCAGGGGGCCGGCTGTCTCCAAGGGACAACTAGGCGGCGGTGGTCCGGCCACGGCCAGCGCGAGATACTTTAAGTGTCTCACTTAGGAAAAAACGCCTAGAAAAGAATACAGTTCTGGACCGATATGGAGGAGGGGGGTGGAGGCAACGAGCAGCCCCCAAGCCACACATTTAGGGTTGGGGAAGGAGGAGGCAAGGAAGGGGGTGCGGTGCGGTGCACAAGTCTATCTCTCAGACTTGACCGACAGACACGCCCTCGGGCGAACATTTAAGGGGGGGGATAGAAATAGCATACGTACATTTGGCCCCGAGATAGTTGCATGCATGAAGGTTCCCCCCACCCACGCATCGTCTGTGTAGCGAAGTCTGCAGCCGCCGCTCCCCCACCACCTTTCTCTTGTGCTATGAGAAGTTGCAAAGCAAAACCCACCCTCCCTCTCTCAGGTCCCCCACCCGAGTCGAGTTGGAGCCGCAGCGGCGGCGGCGGCAGCAGCAGCAGCAAGAGAAGAGGCGTCGCCTGCCAAGTTCAACCTCCACCCCTCCTATTGCTCTCACTTAAAGGAAGTTACAAGCCAAATGAAAAAAAACAAAAAAAAAAACAAAAAACACCCACCCTCCAGCACGCTGCACTTTTGGAGTGGAAAGAGGAGGTGTGGGGGAGTTGTATGTGAAACAGTGACTTGCACCGAGAATGGCAGGCCCCTCCACTCTTACACACATAACCCACATCTAACCTCCCCTTCAACCCCAGCCCCAGCCCAAATTGCAAGGCAGGGCCCCTCCCCTCAATTACGGTGGTGACATTTGCTAGACCTTGCACTTCACACACTACTGACCCTTCCCCTTCCTCTCTCCTCACGCGTCCCTCCTCCCCTCAACGGCCCCCGACAGAAAATCTTTTCAAGTTTCTGTAAAAACTCCTTGCAATAGTTCCCGTTAGACAGTCCCCTACCTCCCGAAAGGTCTAAGTGAATCACGTTTTTAACTAGAGGGGAAGACTGCCCAAAGACCCCCACGCATCCCGAGACGCTCCCCAGTGAGGCGGAATCCTGCTCCCCCTCCCAGGGAGTCAGCTCTCGCCCCGTCCAGTGGAGAGCGATAAAAGAATCTAGTCTCCTACCCCGGGTGCCAGTTATCGTAATTATGGTTATGATTTGTCTACGTGTGCACGTGAGGTGATATGCCCGCCCCTGGGGTGACAGCGGCGCGGGAAAAGTATGTTTGGAGAGGCCCCCGCTGGAACACTCCCGGCTCTCAGAACTCTGGCACCCAGAGCAGTGAAGCTGTCACTTCAGGCCTAGCCTTCGCCCGGGTCATCCCCCTCCTCCTCCCCTCTCGATATCCTGACCAGGGATTGGGGAGCTTGCCGGAAGCTTCCGGCCGCCATCTTGGTAAAGTAAACTTATGATCACAGAACCCTAGAGTCCATGTTATCCACGGAGTAGTCTCAAGCAGGAGTTAAATCCTTTCATTTAGGAATTTAGATGAAAGGTGTCAATCAAAACCTTTGTCACTAAAGAGACCTTGAACAAACGGTCTCGGCAGAGAAGATTCAGGATGGATGCCCCTCCCATCCCCTTAACGTTGCTCTTAGGTACCCATATTGGTAAAGTAGACGCTGTTCGCCATCTTGGTAAAGGTTGAGGGCAAAGGTGCATGCGTAGACAACGTCCTGACCAGAAACTGACCCATAGTTATGTTTGAACCTTGTATGTAGAGCAGTGGTGTCAAACTCACATAGAACCCTGTATGTAGAGCAGTAGTGTCAAACTCACATAGAAACTGGGAATCACTAAACCGTACGTGCAAAGGCAGTCCCTTTGGCCGCATATTGAATTAGAAAAGCACTCATTTACGTTATGTTCTATTGGATTTTTATTTATTTTATTAAATATTTCCCAATCACATTTTAATATGTATCTGGTAACAAGTAAATGTAGCTTGATGATTATGTTTGACCGGTTATTGTCCTTGGGTCTCCAAGAGGACCAAAATGACATAACTATGCTAGAGTCAGCTACAGTGTGTCTGACTGTGGCTGACCAGACCAATACAAACTCGGAAGTGTTTTAGCACAGGTCAGGCATACATAGTCCATGTGATCATTTGGGGTAGATTCTCTAAATTTGCACATCTCTCATTTCTTTTGAGCTACTTCAATTCTGCTTTGCTCATGATCACAGCACCTTCTTGGATGAGGGCATGTCATACTGGGCAATCCTGTGCCAGTGTCTCCCATGTAACACAATCAATTGTCTTGCTTCTTCTGACCACCATGTGAAGGCTTGCCCTGTGTGAGTTCTCCATAAAATAATCTTTTTGGCAAGCATATGTTTTTTGTTCTTTGCAGTAGAGTTTGAATGCTTGGCAGTTTAGTTCTAGAAAGGACCTCAGTGTCTGGTATCTTAACCTGCCAGGTGATCTTCAGAATCTTCCTAAGACAATTCAGATGGAAGTGATTCCATTTCTTGGCCTGTTGCTGGTATATGGTCCAGGATTCACAGGCATACAACAATGAAGTCAGCACAACCGTGTCTGTAGACCTTCAGTTTGGTATCTCTAATGCAGAATGCCTACCCTGTGGGATGGGGAACAAAACCCAGGAGTTTGGGGTAAAGGGCTACCCACTTGGCAAAGCAGAAAGGAGATATGGAGCTCTGCCTATGTTTCCATCATATTATGAACTTTCAGGGGCAGCTAGATGACTAAATTAATAGAATACTGGGTTTTGAATCAGAAAGACTGATCTTCTTGAGTTCAAATCTGGCCTCAGACACGTACTAACTGTGTGACCCTGGGCAAGTCACTTTAACCCTGTTTGCCTCAGTTTCCCATCTATAAAATGAACTGGAGAAGGAAATGGCAAACCACTCTACTGTGTTTGCCAAGAAAACCCCAAATGGGGTCATGAAAGAATGGGACAGGACTTTTAAAAAAATGACTCAACAACAACAAATAATCTCTTTCCAAAGATACTCTGAAAAACTTATACAGTTTTTCCATCTACTAATTCTTAGACACTCAAGGTCATGAGATTTAGAGTGTGAAAGAACTCTAGAAGTCAGCATGCCATATGGAGTAATGAATTCCTGGCACTGACTAGCTGAGTAGCCATGTGATCAAAGGTACAGTTTCTCATCTGTAAAGTTAGGATAATAATACCTGTAGTATTTACCTACCTCACAGAGTTATTATAAAGTTCTAATGAGATAATACATGTAAAGCTTTTAACAAACCTTAATAAGTTACATAAACATTAACCATTATTGGTTTCTGAGATTTAGAGATCATCCGGTTCAAGTCCCTAGTGGGGAAACTAAAGCCCAGAGAGTTGAAATGATCAAAGTTTACAGTGAATAATCACAAAACTAAATAATTGTCTCTTTAACAGACGCAACACTTATTTTCCTACTTTTGTTCATATCAGTATTAACACCTGACTTAGAATGCTCTCCTTCCATATCTGCCTATTGGAATCCTTTCCTTCAAAGGTCCATCTCAAATACTCTATGATTGTCCCTACTAGGAAGTAAATGCTTTCCTTTGTCTTCCCACAGATGGTATTTTTCAGTACCTGGGATTATGAGACTTACAGCTAGAAAGTACATTTTTATAGATGGGGAAACTGAGGCTCAAAAAAGTTAAATGATTAGCCCAAGGTCAACATGAATTAGGCATCTCACAACTAGGCGATGTAATCCAGTGTAATCAATATTTGAATGGGCTAACCAAAAGCACAATGATATTTTGTTGAATATAGTTGGACAGAGCAGTTATAGAATTCATTGTAATATGATCTTTGTAATAGGACTGCTTAAAAAAATACTATTTCCCATCGATCTGAAATATTTGCTTTGCCACCCAATTAAATGAACAATCTCATTATCTCAAATGTTCTTGCTTTTTCAACACTGGAATGACTGGATTTTTTTTTCCTCCTCTGCTTCTCTCTTCTCTACCCCTTCTCAATCTTCCCATTCCTTTACAATTTTGATTTATTTTGGTATGTTAAGGTATTTAAATTTGTTTTAGCTATTATTTGGAGAGGCAATGGGATACAGTGATGAGTACTAGCTGTGGAGGTAGAGGGTATGGGTTTTAATCCTCCCTCTACTGCTTACTGCTTGTGCAACTTTTGGACAAAGCACAATCTTTCTGAGCCTCAGACTC